ACTGTTGTTATTCTCTATCTTGTTTATCTAGCCCTTTCTAATCAGTTGTATGTGCTGAATTGGTGTTTCAATGGGTTTACTATGTTCTGGCTCATTGGTGTTGAGACCATGCTATCGAGCGCCTGCACATCTTCTCGGCTCGCTATATATGGGACTCGTTGGCCCAGATAGTTTCGACACTGTCGTCACGGCGAGTGCGGTCGGATTAAATCGACGAAACAAGCCGAGTAAACGTGGAAGCCTCTCCTGGAGGACAGTTCTTCAATGAAGGTCGGAATTCAATCCCTAAACTACGCACGCCGAACCCCCGCAATAACGCCTAAACGAGGCTTTTACTGTCCTCTAGATTACGTAATTCTGCTCGTCAAATGAAGCTGAAGTCAAATCGAAAAAACATAAAGAAACTTATAGTTCGCTTACCAATCAGGTTTATAATGTTTTTTGAAGACCACATTTGAAAAGGGAAAGGCGCAAGTCGAGTGTATTGTTTTAGACTGGGACTGAGCTGAAATGCAATATTCTAGTAAATGGAGCAGGAGGCACAAACGCACTGTTTTGTTGACTGCAATTCCGTCTATGCGACACTACCCAATTGTGTTTGTTCCGGCTTCTCATGAAAGCTTCTTTGAGGATTTGAAATTTTTACACTTGAGACTATGTAGAAAATTTGGAAAAAGTGCGAATGAATTGTTGGAACATTGCGGAAATTAGTCTGACTATCTAATTGAGCCACGATTATGCGATTCGGATATAAGTCTGTTCTTCATTATTACAAAGCATTCACAATGACAGCGTCTGTTGTCGCACACGAAAGGTTTCTAGACTATACATTCTCTACTATTTATTCGACGTATAGCATCCTCGGAATCATTTTCAATTCATATGTATTAACGTTGATAATCACGCAAAAACACAACTCAATCAAAGAATATCGGATTCTGTTAGGAAATTCAACATGTGCACTTTTACTGCTTTCGCTGTTGACGTTCTTCCTACAGATACGGTGAGTCGATTTTTGTTTACCAAAAACTGTTCCACTGTTATTATCAATTACAGGTTCGTCATTGTAGGAGACTCGCTTGGATATGTGGCCCTAGGACCTATAAGATTTCTGGATACTCCTCGCCTAGCACTTTTTTGCACAGCACTGTTTCTAGCCATCGACTTCTACGCATTTATGACAATCGCTATGTGCATGGCCTACAAATTTGC